ACCGCAGCACTCGCCCGGCTCGCGGGACGTTGCCGCCGCGTTGTCTGCGACGAGCCTCGTGGGCCACCGTCCTCACCCAGTTCATCATGGCGGCCCCCGTAGCAGTGACCACACGGCCGGGGGCAAGAATACATTTTCAAAGTTGTGGGATGCTTAGACCCTTCATGCTTCAAAAGGAAAATATAGATCTTCAATTGATTTGGATGAATCAATTGATACTACTCACTTGACACAGGTGTCATACTTCATTCAAGTCATAGCAGAAGGTTTGCTTTGTTACCAAGTTACATGCTGTGGGCATTCTCTCTCTGTCTCTGTCTCTGTCTCTCTCTCTCGCCCCATGGTGTCGCAGCTCACAGCAACCTCAAACTCTTGGGCTTCAGCAGTTCTCTTGCCTCAGTCTCCTAAGCAGCTGGGACTACCGGCACCTGCCGCAACACTCGGCCATTTTTTGGTTGCAGTTGTTTACCAGGCCCCCGGCTGGGTTCGAAACCCCAAGCCTGGGCGTATGTGGCCAGAGCCCTACCCATTGAGCTATGGGCGCCTCCACTGTGGGCATTCTTACAAACAGAACACTGGGGAGATATCTTCAACATATCTTCAACAATTTTTAATATAAATGCCATGAATTTGGACTGAATTTGGTACATTTAGTGAATTTATGTACAGATAATGCACCTTCCATGACAGAAAAACGTGAAGGGTTTATTGTAAAGATAAAAAGTATAGGGTGGCGCCTGTAGCTCAAAGGAGTAAGGCACGGCCCCCATATGCTGGAGGTGGCGGGTTCAAACCCAGGCCTGGCCAAAAAAAAAAAAAAGATAAAAAGTATTAACAGATCCAGATGCTCTCATTTCTTTTCATTGTATCTTGCATCAGCAAAATTTTTCTGCTAAAGCTGCAGTATTAAGTGATACTTTGGGACAACTTACAGTATTGCTAGCAACGCATCTGTTTTATAATATGCTAAAGATGAACAATAAGATATTTGGTGTGGATTTTCTATACTATTCTAAAGTGTGTTGGCTATTGCAGGGGCAGATGTTAGCTAAAATTTTCTATGAGAACAGATAGTTAAATTTCATGAAGAACAGAATTAGCAATGTGAAGTATTGAAAGATTTCTATATGAATACAGCATTTCTGTGTGTTATTGTGTCAAGTCAAAATGACTTGAATATTTCCTTGTGAGATAAAATTAAGTCTATATATGATATGTGGCAAAAAACCCAAGCATTTTGAAAAAAAAAAAAAACCTTTCTGTTTTTAAACACAATTCTTCTGCAAAAGGAAATTTCAGATGAACACATTTTTCCTAGTTAGCAAAGGTCATTGATGGAGCAGGCTGATATATGCGAATCATTTGAAGAATATCAGCTTTTGTAGACCTATTCATTGGAGAATGCAATGAAAATTTACTGACTTTGAGTATCATCCCATCACACTCAAATTAGCGTTTCAGCCTTACCTAGTTGATATCACCAAGGCACCTAAAGCACTACAGATGGAATTGATCGAGTTCTCAGTAGATGACATTTTAAAGCCATTGTCTAATGCTAAGAAAGAGCTAATTGAAATATAGAAAAAATGCAGTAGATTACCCACGTTTTCAGCAACATGCCCCCAAGGTGCTTTTTTGCTTTTTAGACACTTATTGCTGTGGATTTATATTCTTCTACCTAACCCAAATCAAGAGACCGTTAAGGTCACAAATTATTGGTACCCATTTAGAGGATCAGCTGACCTCCATGCTGCAATCAAATATTCAAACGCTTTCCCACAAAAAGCAGACACACCAAAGTCATTAAAAAGGCTGGTTAACTTTAAAATTAAGAAAATTTTATTATTTTTAATTATTAGGTACATAGTAGTTAGATTTTTACAAAATAATATACGTTTTAGGTACAGTAGAACCTCCATAGTTGACAATCTCCTTACACTTGGACCTGCGTTACATGTACTAAGGCCTAGTTCTTTATGTTAACCACTTCTGACTGTTGACCAGTTGGCTACAGTCCCAATTGCAGTTTCTTGGATGTAGCATTATTTGATTACAGCTAAATTAATGTGGGCTTCCAACACGAAAAGGTTTCCCATCACTGTCAAAGAGTGTTCTTACATGTACCTAGATGGTATATCCTACTCCATAGCTAGGCTGTAGAGTATAGGCTATGTTTCCTAAGCTATAAACCCATATAGCATGTTGCTATACTTAGTACTTTAGGCAATTATAGCACAATGCTAAGAATTTGTGCACCTTAAACATAGAAAAGGTACAGTAAAAGTATGATATTGAAAGGTTAAAAAATGATACAATTCTATAGGGTACTTATCATAAGTGGAGCTGATAGAACTAGAACCTTCTCTGGGTGAGTCAGCGAGTGAGTGGTGAGTGAGTGTGAAAACCCAGGACATTACTTTAGACTTTATAAACACTGTACATTTAGGCTACAGTAAGTGTATACAAACTATGTTTCTTCAATACTACATTAACCTTAGCTTACTGCAACTTTTTTGTTTATAAACTTCTATTTTTTTTCTTATCCCACTTAAAGTTTATTTTTATGTGATTCTTCTCAGCATGCAGTGTTCTTTCTTGGGAGAAATATTTTTCTTTGATGCCCTGGTTTACATTATAAATTAATTTACAAATATAGAATTGTGTTAGAAACATTTATAAAAGTCCATACGATTTCGTATGTACAAAACTAGCCATAGAAATTGTTTCTCGTACACATAGTATATGGGTTGGTAATCTCTTTGGCTGTCTTTCTGCATAATATTAAAAAAGTGATGGTGGTGTAATTTGTACCTCAAAGCTGTTTTAAAAAATCATTTTCTGTATGTATATTTCAAAAGAAAACGTTTCTCTAACATAATGCCATTGGAGTCTTTTTGAAAAAAGAATACACAGGGAAAAGTTACAAATATTTCTTTACAATGTGCTTGTATTTCTTTTTCTAAAACATTAAACCCCCAAACTAGCCATGCTAACATCAGAGATTTAAAAACATATCTTCTCTCATTGCTGCAGGGAAAAAAAAATAAAGCACAGTACAAAGGCAACTCAGGACATTTTCTTCATCTTAATGGAACACTATTCCCATAAATTCAACAAGTATCCTCATTTTAATTAACCTTTGGAATAAATTCTGTCATTCAACAAATAGGTGACTCTACTATGGACTAGGCACTCTGCTGAGCACTGGAGGGATGACCATAAAAATTATTCAAATGAAGATACCTCAGAGAAGTGAAAGGGAGTGCTAACATAAATATTAAATACAATTAGCTCTCTCTTATTTTTTAAATTTGAAAGTCAAGTGAAGCAGCGGGCGTGGAGAAGGAGCAAAGACATCTGTAACTGGTTGCAATAATTAGTTGTAAACATCACTGCACTCAGATTAGCCTCTTTTAAAAAAATTTGACCAAAAATGCTTTATTATATTAAAACTTATAAAAGTCCATTTAAAAGCTATTTTTAGTAAAGTTCTTTCTTTCTTTTCTTTCTTTTTTTTTTTTTTTTTTTAGTAAAATACTATCAATACTTTGTTAGAAAATGAAATATCCAGGACACAAACTAAAAGGGACAGGATGTCAGGCTGACTGACCATCATAAACTAGGACAATGGTCACCCAGACTAAGTCAGAGGTGATATCCCACCTTTACTGCTCAGGGAAACCTATCAAATGATTTATTTCAACCAGAATCTTTGGTTAAATGAGATTAGCTCCATTCCTACCCCTGCATATTATACTTGTGTCTGCCTGTGGAAGTTGACTTCTTGGGTTTTCAGGAACCAGAACACAGAGGTTACAAGCACCAGCTCAGGAGCCAGATGGCCTGGATCAGCCCGACTCCACTGTTTACTATCTGGGTGACCTTGGGTAAGCTAACATTTTGGAGTTTTGCTCCCCTCAGATGGAAAATGAGCGGTGGAGGGCGGTGCTTGTGGCACAAAGGAGTGGGGCACCGGCCCCATATATGGGAGGTGGTGGTTTCAAACCCAGCCCTGGCCCAAAACTGCAACAACAACAACAACAACAAAAGAAAAGAAAAGAAAATGAGGGGTGGTAATACAACATAATACCTACCCCCCAACGGTGCCATGCAGATTAAATGAGTTAATACATTCCAAGTGTTCAGAACAGTGCCTGACACAGGAGGCTGGCTGCCTATAGTTTTGTTGCTATTAGTATCTACCATACCAGATGGAGGTGACTTGAGAGCTAGTGATAGCTCAAAGATTTGTGGCGTTGCCTCATAAGATATGATAAAAAGCTTTAATAAGAGGCAAAGGATGCAAAGTTGGAGGTTTCCTATAAAAACCAAGGTATCTGGGGGGAAGGAGGGGCTTGGCCACCTATTGGGTACAATATAGGGGTATATGGCACATTTTTCTGGGTGAAGGACTCAACTACAACTCAGCCTTTGGACTTTACCTTACAAATGCAAGCAATGTAACCCAATCTTATGTACCCTTATATTAACCCCAAATTAAAAATAAAAAAAAAAACCTAGGTGTTTTTTCTTTTTTTAACAAAAGCCAGAAAGTTGTCATTTGAGAGATAACCAGCTGCTCACAGTAGCCTTTAGCTAATGAGTCCCAACCACTCTCTACTGGTTCAGGTGCCAATTGCTGTTTTCTCAACCAGTAACTTTGCTGGTGTATGTTTTTTAACCACCTGTACACATTTTGAGCTTGCAACCCTGGAATACAGCGATGAACAAAACAGAAGTGGTCCCTGCCACCCTGGGTCCCTATCCCAGAACAGAGTGAGGTGGCTTTCTCTTTAGGGGGGCTCATATGCAGAGAAATTTGTAAAAGCTCACACTGGCTTGTGGAGGACAGAGTTACACACCATTGTTGCTCAAAGGAGCACAAGATCAACCAGGAACTCAGCAGAAATGCAGAACCTCAGGTCCTACCCCAGACCTACTGACCTGGAAGCTGCATTCCAACCAGAATGTGTGCAAACCGAGGTCTGAGAAGCACTCTCCTACACCTCAGAGTCCTCCTGGGGGTAGATGAGGCTGTTGATGGAGCTGAAGTTGTAGAAAGGGCTGCCGAAGGGGCTGTTCTGGTCTCCACTGGTGCTGTCAGGGAAAGGGCTGCTGCTATTACTCAGCTGCAAGGCGTCTGGCGAGGTCTCGGAGATAGGCTCAGGGGGGAATGTGTCGCTGGAGGGCAGCTGGGCCCCCTGGATTCCTAGGTGGCCGCTGCCAGAGAGAGCTGGTTGATCGGTGTTCCCACTTCTGCTGGCACTGAAGCTGCTGAGGGTGTTGAAGAAAGTGTTGAGGCAAATTGTGGAGGTGAGCATGGATCCTCCGGGAGACCAAGCTGGATTCTGGGTGCCCTCGGGAGGCTGTGGGGACTGTGAAGGCATCAGCAGCGAGGAGGTGCTGTCTGCTTCTGGCTTCCCACCTACTGCAGACCCTATTACTGAAGAGAGCCCTTGGGCTTCTAAAGGCCCAGCAGCCAGGGTGGAGCTGCTGCTGGCCTCAAAGCGGCGCCTTCGCTTCCGACGGAAGTTCCCATTGTCGAACATTTTATCACAGTTCGGATCCAGAGTCCAGTAATGACCTTTCCCCGGATCGTCCTCGTCGCGGGGCACTTTCTTGAAGCAGTCGTTGAGCGACAGGTTGTGGCGGATGGAGTTCTGCCAGCGGGCGCTGCTGTGCTGGTAGAAGGGGAAGCTGTCGGTCACGAACTGGTAGATGTGGCGGAGCGTGAGCTTGCCCCCGGGCGCGTTCTGGATGGCCATGGCGATGAGCGCCGAGTACGAGTAGGGCGGCCGCACCGTCAGCAGGTCCTCGTCGCCGGCGGCGGACCAGCCCAGTTCGCCCTGCACCGCGGGCGCGGCGGGCGAGGCCGGAGCGACGGCCCAGGACTGCGCGAAGGGCTGTTGCACCGAGGCGAAGG